GGATGCGCCTGGTAGTTGGGCGCGAGCGGCAGGATGCTGCCGCAGATCGTCGACACGACGCCACCGTCCGGGCACTGGTCGTGGTCGGCGGGGTTTGCTTTGTCACCACCGGAGCACGCCGGTGCTGCGGTGGCGGCGGCGTCGGCGGTGGCGGCGTCGGCGGCGGTGGGACAGCACGGCGCTGCCGCCGCTGCCGTAGAATGAGACGGCTGTAGGAACGAGCGCTCATTCCACGTGGAGCATTCGTCCTGGTGGTGGTGGTGGTGCCGAGATTGTTGGTGGTGGCGGTAGCCGAGGCATCCGTGGCCGTGAAACTCTCCGACACGGAGCGCTCGTGATGGTGCTGCTGCTGCTGGTGGTGGTGCTGGTGGTGGCCATGGTGCCACCCGCGGACGCCCGGGCCGTCGAGCGGCGTCGCGGGCCATCCGTGGCAGGCCGTCACAGCCGGCGGACAGCCGCGATGCTCCCCAGCGTGACCTCCTCTGTGACCTCCAGCGTGACCTCCAGCGTGACCTCCAGCGTGACCTCCAGCGTGACCTCCGTGTTGGTGACGGCAGGAGGAGCAGCAGCAGGAGGAGGAGGGGGTGGGGCAGCAGCAGGATCCCGGCTCCCCCCCCACCGCCGCCTCGACGACTTTGGGCCCACAGACATTTTGTGGCGTCTCGTCGGGGCAGCAGCCAGAGCAGCAGGAACCCCGCGGCGTCGGGGGCAGCACCTCGACGCGGACGCCGACGCCGTCGCGCCGCCCTCCGCCGCGTTCTCGCCGGCACCGGGGCGGCACCCGGGGCAGCCAGCGGAGTCAGGCGAGGGCCCACGGCCGCCGCCGTCGCCTCCGGCCTCGCGCCGCAGCGTGAGGGAGGTGCGGTGTGGGCTGGGGCTGCCGCCGGAGCCGCCGACGCCGACGCCGTCGTCGGCCGCCCCGGCCAGTTCGAAGGGCTCGCGGTTGATCTCGAGCAGGACCGGGTAGGCCGTGGCGATGTGCGGCCCCTTGCGGTGCACGATCATGTGGCAGTGGTAGACGTCGATGTCGACTGGCGTGGTGGTGGAGTGGCCGTCGCACAGCAGGAAGCAGATGGTGTAGAGCGCCAGCTCGAACTCGGGGCTGGTGCCGATGAAGGAGCCGCCGATCGGCTTGACGAGGCCCTTCCAGGTGAACTGCACCGCGATCAGCTGGTCCTCCTCGTCGGGCTGGGAGGGGGGAGGGAGGAGGGGCGAGGAGGAGGGAGGAAGATGAGAGGATGAGATGAAGAAGGGAGGTAGTGATGGCTCTTAAGGAAGTGGGTGGGTCATCACCATCATCACCACCATCATCATCACCACCACCATCACCATCACTATCATCACCACCACCATCATCACCACTACCACCACCATCGCCACCATCACCACCACCACCATCACCACCACCATCATCACCACCACCACCATCATCGCCACCATCATCACCACCACCATCCACCATCACCACCACCATCCACCATCACCACCACCATCACCACCACCATCATCATCACCACCATCACCACCACCATCATCACCACCATCACCACCATCACCACCACCACCATCATCATCACCACCATCACCACCACCATCATCACCACCACCATCACCACCACCATCACCACCACCACCATCATCACCACCACCACCACCATCATCACCACCACCCTCCACCATCATCACCACCACACCACCACCATCACCACCACCACCATCATCATCACCACCACCACCATCATCACCACCATCACCACCACCATCACCACCACCACCACCATCATCATCACCATCACCACCACCATCATCACCACCACCATCATCACCACCATCATCACCACCATCACCACCATAATCACCCCCACCACCATCATCACACCATCATCACCACCAGCACCACCACCATCATCACCACTATCTCCACACCATCACCACCACAATCCTCATCATCACACGACCACCATCATCGCCACCATCACCACCAACATCATCGCCGCGTGGGGAAATGTATATCAGCGGCCACATCTACGCGACCCACCACGGGGAGAGAGACTCCAATATAGAGCAGCAGGCGTTTGTCAGGGTCAGGGGATGTTGTGGTTGTTGTTGTAATTGTTGTGGTGGTTGGTGTGATTGTTGTGGTGTGTGATTGTTGTGCTTGTTGTTGTTATGATTGTTGTGGTAGTTGGTTGCTGTGATTGTTGTTGTGGTTGTTGTTCTTGTTGCTGTGGATTGTTGTTGTGGTTGTTGTTGTGGTTGTTGTTGTGGTTTTTGTGGGTTGTTATTGTTGTGGTTTGTTGGTTGCTGTGATTGTAGTGATTGTTGCGATTGTTTGTTGTTGTTATTGTTGTAGGTTGTTGTTATGATTGTTGTGGTTGATGTTGTTGTGGTTGTGTGATTGTTGTTGTGATTGTTGTTGTGATTGTTGTGGTTCTTGTGATTGTTGCGGTTGTCGTTGTGATTGTTGTTGTGGTGTGTGATTGTTGTTGTGGTTGTTGTCGTGAATGTTGCTGTTGCGATTGTTGTGATTGTTGAGGTTGTTGTGATTGTTGTTGTGGTTGTTGTCGTGATTGTTGCGATTGTTGTGATTGTTGAGGTTGTTGTGATTGTTGCTGTTGTGATTGTTGGTTGTTGTGGTTCTTGTGATTGTTGTTGCGGTTGTTGTTGCGGTTGTTGTTGTCGTTGTCGCCGTTGCGGCGTTTACCTTTGCGCAGCGCTTGCGCTTCGAGACGTATCCGTGGTAGTCGACAGCGCCGCGCTTCTCCTGCAGGTAGAACTGCAGCCAGTTGTGGAAGCCTGTGACGTCACGGCGACGCGTCTCGCCCACGAACACGTGCTCGAAGCCGCACGAGTCAGGCCTGGGGAGGGCCGCGGGGTCGACGACGATTCAACGCGGAGCCGTCGCTTCATCATCTCGCTGGCGGTGGTGGTGGTGGCTGTGGTGGTGGTGATGCTGCTACTGCTGCTACTGTTGATGATGATGTTGTTGCTACTGCTGCTGCTGATGGCTGCTGCTGTTGCTACTGCTGCTGATGCTGCTATTGCTGTTGATGCTGCTGCTATTGCTGTTGATGCTGCTGTTGATGCTGCTGCTATTGCTGTTGATGCTGCTGTTGATGATGCTGCTGCTGTTGCTATTGCTACTGTTGCTATTGATGCTGCTGCTATTGCTGTTGATGCTGTTGCTCTTGATGATGCTGTTGATGATGCTGCTGCTGTTGATGTTGCTATTGCTGTTGATGCCGCTTTTGATGATGCTATTGCTGTTGCTATTGCTGTTGATGCTGCTGTTGATGCTGCTGCTATTGATGATGCTGCTGTTGTTGATTATGCTGCTGTTGGTGATGCTGGCGCTATTGCTATTGCCGCTGTTACTGATGCAAATGTACAACGATTCTTCTTAGCGATGAATGTAACAATGGCTTTCTTTTTGTTTGTTGTTGAACCGTAACACACACTTTGACAACACTCACCACATGGGCATTTAAAAGCAGTGCGTTGGTTACGTTCTGACTTACGAACGGCTCGACTTACGAACGGGCCCCTGGGGGACACTACGTGTGTTCGTAAGTCCGAGGACCCCCAATGTATTTTGTGCTTTACGATTTGGGCCACTCACTCGGTTTTGCCGCTCCTGCTGTAGAGCTCGAACCAGATCTGGAATAACTGCTTCTTGAAGGCGTCCGTGTCGGGTGAGGAACAGCCCTTTGAGACGAGATACTTGTGTGCGATCTGTGACAAAGGATAAAGACAAAGATCCCCCGTATAGCCTTAGCAGACTGTTAGGGCAAGTGCTGTTAGCGAGTCGCACTTGTTTGTGACAAAGACAGCGATATCCGGTATAGCCTTCGACAGACTGTGTTGGGGCAAGTGCTGTTAGCGAGAACCTATTTGTGACACAGAACAACAACAACAACCGCCATTCGCCACTAAGTTGTGATGACGTCATCACGGCGCTTGTGCCAGGCTATGCACACGTGAAGGCCACGTGAAGTGTCGAACCCTCGCTGGCAGGAGGTCACGGGACAGACCCAGGTGCTGCCATAGGTTGACTGACCGATATGACTGGCAGATGGCCAACCTGTGTCCCCCTACTATGCCAACTTGTTGTTGTGAGCGTCGCTCCTCTGCCCTCCGTTGATGCTGGAGGCCGATCTTGACACCGCTGGTACCAGTTATTGGCAAGTCCACTCGGCTCCATGTCCTATCGCACCTCATCATTCTATCCCTTCTCCAGCCCCTGCTGTGCCCATTTAGCCCCCTCTATCCGGCCGAACAAATGCTGCTTGGGCATGCGGTGGCTGGGCATGCGGTGGATGGGCATGTGGGCTACGTGACCCTGCCAACGCAGCCTTGGATGCCGGAGGAGCTCACCGATGGGACTGTGTCCAGATGTTTTGAGGATTTGTGAGCTCCTCACACAACCCAGCCTTCTTAAACCCAGGATAGATCATAGGCAGGCCAGCCTGAATGTTTGTAACTGGCGAAGATGTTCCGTTTGGGTGGTCCACGTTTCGGAAGCGTAGAGAAGCGAGGGCATGACAGTGACCGAGAAGACCCAAAGATTTGTGTGGAGTGACAGACCAGGAACCTTCCCACACAGCGTTAGGCAGGCGATGAAAAGATAATTGCCGCTTGACTGATTCGGAGTGAGGCCTCTGCTGTCAAACCAGAGCTGGTCACGAGTACACTGCCCAGAATGGAAAACTCTCCACAACTGCCCTACCAATGGGAATTGAGGAAATTGAGTATTTGATGACACAAAATAGTTTTGGAGGGTCTGATGGTAAGGCCCCACCTCTTAGTGACACACTCCAGGTTCAGCAGCAACGCCCCCAACTCCTCCTCTGAGTGGGCAGCAATCCCCAGATCATCATCATACATATCATGGTTGACCAATAGGGAGCCATCCCTTGACCACACCAGAGCATCGATCAGCTTCCCATTGTAACTGTACCAGATGGAAATTTATCCGGTATCGCCATGAAACGATTATCTAACTATGTGGTCGAAAAATATGTTAAATAAGAACAACCCAGAGCCCAGGCCTACTGATGGTATCGTAGGCCTTGACAAGGTCAATAAAGCGTTGTTGGAATTTCCTACACCTCTGCTATAGCAGACGGACAGAGAATATAGCATTTGTTCAGGACCGCCCTGGCCTGAAACCACATTGGGGCTTCGCAAGCCTCTCCTGAACATGCCTGGCAAGGCGATGCTGAATAACACGATGTACACCATTTTATGTCCTGGGTAGTAAGTGTTATTTCGTAATTGCTTATCCATAAAAAGTATAGAAAATGGCTATTATTCCCCAAAAACTTTGCTTTTGTGACCAGGACAGTGATATTTTGAAATGTACCTATTTTCAATGAGAAAACGGGCGAATTTGTGTCTTTTCGTTCACATAAAGTCAGAAAAAATAACATATGAATCTAAATTAACATGTATTTATACCAAGTAATACAAAAATGACAACAAAAGATTTAGAAGTGAGTAGTTTTTCAAGATTTACGATTATACTGTAAATCGCTTTCATGAATCAGCTTCCAAATGTAGTCTCCCATCATGTTCTCGATATACTGTCCTTGGTAGCGGCGTTCAAAGTCCAGTATATCCTGATGAAAGCGCTCGCTTTGCTCCTCTGAGTACGCTCACATGTTCTCCTTGAATTTATCAAGATGAGCATCAAGGATATGGACTTTGAGGGACATCCTACAGCCCATTGTGCCGTAGTTCTTCACCAGAGTCTCAACCAGCTCCACATAGTTTTCGACCTTGTGATTGCCCAGGAAGCACGAACCATTGTGACAAAGCTGTTCCAAGCCGCGTTCTCCTTACTAGTGAGCTTCTTGGGAAATTCATTGCACTCCAGGATCTTCTTTATCTGTGGTCCGATGAAGACACCGGCTTTGACCTTTGCCTCAGACAGCTTAGGGAAGAAGTCTTGAAGGTACTTGAAGGCTGCCGGCTCCTTATCTAGAGCTCTGACAAATTGTTTCATAAGGCCCAATTTGATGTGCAGTGGTGGCATCAGCAGCTTCCGGAGGTCCACCAGTGGCTCTCACTTGACGTTGTTCCTCCCCACCGAGAACTCGGTCCGCTGTGGCCAGTCCCGCCTGTGGTAGTGTGCCTTGGTGTCCCTGCTGTCCCAAAGGCAAAGATAGCAGGGAAACTTGGTAAAACCGCCTTGGAGACCCATCAGGAATGCCACCATTTTGAAGTCCCTGATGACCTCCCAGCCGTACTCATCATACTTCAAGGCGTCCAGCAAGGTCTTGATGCTGTTGTAATTCTCTTTGAGGTGCACCGAGTGAGCCAGGGAAAGAGACGGGTACTTGTTACCATTGTGGAGCAGCACCGCTTTGAGGCTCCTGGATGCGCTGTCAATGAAGAGGTGCCACTCATTCTGGTTACAGGCGATTCCGATTGCCTCGAACAGACTGGTCACATTGTGGCAGAAGCAGAGCCCATCTTGACGGGTGAAGAAGCTGCAAAAAGGTTGGTGACGCTTCCTCTGATCTGCGACTTGCACACTTCTTTCATCCAACAAGTTCCACTGCTTGAGCCTCAATGTCAAAAGCTCGGCAATGGACTTGGTGAGACCAAGATCTCTGATCAAGTCGTTGAGGTCTTTTTGGTTGGTAGTATGGGTTTCTCTCCTCAGCTCCACCTCTAAAATTGTCATCTGGATCTACAACGTCTTCCTCGCTCTCTGACTTGCTGCTCTCTTCTAAAGACGGCTGCTCTCTCTCCGGACGAGTGGGTACGGGGAGCTCATGGCAGCGCGGCACCGGAGCGATGCATGAAGGAAGGTCCAAATACGTGATAGCAGGTGCATGGGATGGTGCGAAGGAAGTTCAACTTGCTGTACAGACATCGCGAGAGGGGGTGGACAAGTGGGAGTTACCCACTCTTTACCCCACCACCACCAGCACCACCAGCACCACCAGCACCACCGCCACCAGCACCACCGCCACCACCAGCACCACCATCAGCACCACCAGCACCACCGCCAGCACCACCAGCACACCCAGCACCACCACCACCAGCACCACCACCACCAGCAGCACCACCAGCACCATCACCAGCACCACCAGCACCACCAGCAGCACCACCAGCACCACCACCACCAGCACCACCACCACTACCACCAGCACCACCAGCACCACCAGCACCACCAGCACCACCACCACCAGCACCACCACCAGCACCACCACCAGCACCACCACGGCACACACAGGAGGGGTTGCTACCTTAACCACGTGGGTCTCCATCACGGCGTCCAGGAAGTCGTCGATTTCCTTCAACTCTTCTGGGCTCAGACATTCCGGGGTCCCCACGCCGGCCTCGTAGTTGTCCAGCATCGCCATGAAGCCTGACACACACACACAGAAACCTTCATCATCAGTATTATAATGATATAAGTGTATTGTGTAACACGACTTTCTCTCACACACAGAGAAACCTTCATCATCATCATCAGTATTATTATGATATAATTCTATTGTGTAACACGACTTTCTCTCACACACAGAGAAACCTTCATCATCATCATCAGTATTATTATTATGATATCATTCTATTGTGTAACACGACTTTCTCTCTCACACACACACAGAAACCTTCATCATCATCAATATTATTATTATAATGATACAATTATATTGTGTAACACGACTTTCTCACACACACACACAGAGAAACCAGCCTCGAGTTACAGCCTTCATCGTTATAATATTAGAATTATATAATTATAAAATTAGAATTATATAATTAAAATATTAGATTATATAATTATAAAATTAGAATTATATAATTATATGATTATTAGAGCATTTTTCTTGGTTCTTTCGGTAAAGTCACGTAGAATGGAAATAATAAAATAATAAAGATACAACATAATAAAATAATTCTCACGACGTTTCGGTCACAACGCAAGCAGCCGTCCTCAGGTGAAGAACAGGTCTGTCGAGAAGACAGAGTCTGAATGACATTCAGACTGTCTTCGAAACGTCGTGAGAATTATTTTGTTTTATTTTATATTATTTTATTATTTCCATTCTACGTGACTTTACCGAAAGAACCAAGAAGATGAATCCCTGCAGTCACGAAAGCTTTAAATCGAAATTTAGAGCATTTTTGTTTACACGTTCACCTCAAGAACTGTGTGCCGTTAATGTCGACTTGATTCCTTGCTAAAACGTATCATCTATGTTGATGCTGTTTAACGCAACACTTACTTTATTGCCAGAAAGGGTAAAAACACTTTTCTTAGTTTCATCATTTTGGATACTTTCAGAAAAAGATCCCATGATAAAACAAGCATATCTGTGTTAAAGTGTCTCTCTTATTCATTCAACTTCCTCGCCTGGTATGCAGGAGGTCCAGGGTTCGATCCCTGACACCTGCTGTATATTTTGAGTTAGCGTGTCTCTCTCGCCCTCTCATCATCATCACGGTGGCTAGGAGATGTTAACTACCTCGCCTGGTATGCAGGAGGTCGTGGGATCGATCTCGACCCTGACGCCTGCTGCTGCTGTATATTTTGAGTTTGTGTGTCTCTCTCATCATCATCACGGTGGCGAGGAGATGTTAACTACCTCGCCTCGTGTACAGGAAGTCGTGGGTTAGATCTCGACCCTGACGCCTGCTGCTGTATATTTGGAGTTTGCGTCTCTCTCATCATCACGGTGGCTAAGAGATGTTAACTACCTCGCCTCGTGTACAGGAAGTCGTGGGTTAGATCCCGACCCTGACGCCTGCTGCTGTCTATTTGGAGTTTGCGTCTTTCTCATCATCACGGTGGCTAGGAGATGTTAACTACCTCGCCTGGCATGCAGGAAGTCGTGGGTTAGATCCCAACCCTGACGCCTGCTGCTGTATATTTGGAGTTTGCGTGTCTCTCTCTCTCTCCCCGCGGTCGCGTGAGTTTTTTCTCCGGCTCCTCCAGTTTTTCTTTTCCCTCCACATATATTTTATTTGATGAAATAAATATTTTATTTTATAAACAAGTGTAAATATTTTGTTTTATAAAATATCATAAATATTTTATTTAATTAAATAATATTTTATTTTATGAAATAAAATGAAATATTTATGAAATAAAATAAAATACATATTTTGTTTTATTTTATACCTACGTAACTTTACCGAAAGAACCAAAATAATATGCAAACCTCTTATTATGGATAATATTGGTCGTTGAAAGCCTCCTCCTACTACAAGTACTCAGTGTTAAACTGAATTCTGTCCCCAGGGGGCAGCAGCAACGATTGCCGTGCCATGCACGTGGTGGTGGTGGTGGTGTGGTAAAGTGAGTGTGGGTAACCGCGTACTCGAGTAGGTGGTGGTGGTGGGGTAAAGTGAGTGTGGGTAACCGCGTACTCGAGTAGGTCTTCATCCCCTTCAGCTTATTCTCGTCCACGAAGTGGAAGAGGCGCTTGGGCGCCTCGTCCGTCTGTCCACGTGGGCTCGCCTCGGCCTGTTTCAAAAGACACAAAGATTCAGACCCCCCTCACCACCACCACCACCCCACCGCATCCCGCGTAGCCTCTTGGCACACTGCCGAGGTGACTTCGGAGATGTTAACTCCCTCGCCTGCTACGCAGGAGGTCTGTAAGTCCGGTCCCGACCCTGACGACGCCCATTGTGTTTGCGTGTCGTTGTCTTTCTCTCATCATCACCACCGTGGCTAGGAGATGTTAACTACCTCGCCCGGTATACAGGAGGTCGTGGGTTCAATAACAACCGTGACGATGCCTGCTGCTGTATATTTGTGATTTGCGTGTCTCTCTCTCTCTCACCATCATCACGGTGGCTAGGAGATGTTAACTACCTCGCCTAATTAACAGGAGGTCGTGGGTTCGATCCCGACCGAACCCACGACCTCCTGCGTACCAGGCGAGGTAGTCAACATCTCCTAGCCACCCTAGCCACCGTTGTTAAGCTTGCTATCATTTGTGATGGCCAGAGTAGCTTCTAGAAAAAGTAGCCACGCAGTAGCTCAGTAGGGGGGGCCTTACACCTGGGGAAATACACAATATGTTTAACAAAAAATGGTATTTGAATTTTTACAATTAATAATGTCATTTTAACAGCCGGGCCCCTCTCGCGGTGAAGGTGAATGCCCCGGGGTGTTTCACCTGCAGGCAGATGGAGTAATCGGTGCACGGGGTGAGCCGATTGATGTCGGCTCGCCACAGCTCATTCAGCACCACGGACAGGTCGCTCCTGTCCGAATAGCTGCGGACACACACAAGACGAAGATAACTTTCGATTTAAAGCTGCAGGGATTCATATTCTTGGTTCTTTCGGTAAAGTCACGTAGAAGAGAAATAATAAAATAATAAAAATTTAACATATTTTTATTCTTTTTTTATTTCCCTTCTACGTGACTTTACCGAAAGAACCAATAATATGAAGACAACGATATCCCCAACCCCCGGTATAGCCTCGAGCAGACTGTTGGGGCAAGTGCTGTGAGCGAGTAGCAGCACTTATGAAGGTCCAGACAAAGAACCCCCATACAGCCTTCACAGACTGCTGGGGCAAGTGCTGTGAGCGAGTAGCAGCACCTATGAAAGCCGAATCACAGCAAAAGACAAAGCTCCCCCGTATAGCCTTAACCGACTGCTGGGGCAAGTGCTGTGAGCGAGTAGCAGCACCTATGAAAGCCGAATCGATGCCAAAGACAAAGCTCCCCCGTATAGGCTCGAGAAGACTGTCGGGGCAAGTTCTGTTAGCGAGTAGCAGCACCTATGAAGGCCGGCACGGCACACGAGGGAGTGGGTGGCCAGCACCACGCCCGGCCGCCTTTGTCTCCCTAGTCGCGATGTTTACACAGCGCACCTAGTACTCATTTGAGGCTGAGTGGACCTAGGGGAGGCCCAGGACCGGTTCAGATAATCGCCACTGGTGGTGTTGGTGGCCGTGAGCGGGAATCGAACTCGGGTCGCCGTGTTCGTAGCGGACACACACACACACACGCAAGAGCAAGAGAGTGTGCGCTCTTTCTCTTATGCTGTTCCCAATGTCTAAACCGCGTGGCTTATCTTCCCACATTGTCTCGTATTGTCTCGAGATCCCATCAGAGGCACCGTCTGTCTGTCCATCAACAACTTCTGTGTGTCTCCGATTTAAGATTTAAGATTTATATATACACAGGATGTGCGAATCCACGCGTACGAACTTATAACAGCACCACTGACAATGCTCCTGCCTGCCTCAGCAGTCATCCTGCTGTGTTCGTCTCACCTGATGACGGTTTCTGTTTCAAGTTTATTTATTTGGCATAGGCCTGTGAGCCATTCGGCTCTTGAATCGGGTGCAACCGCAACAAACAAGAAACTAAAAAATGAACAAGAAAACATCTTAAAGTGACTATGCGCAAAAAAAAAATCCAGGAAAAAACTGCAAAGTCTTCCAGAAAAAGAAGCACCGTTCATCAACGCTGTGCAAACATCCCAGTGGGATGTAAGTCAAACAACAACAACAACCACAAGACAACTTAAATTAAAGCCATCATTCTAACTCCGTACTACAACAAACAAACATGGCCAAACCAAATTTTTTTTTCGAAATCACCAAAATAAAGCCATGAAAGCAATGAAACAGTGATCATGGGAACGGCTGCTTGTGCTGCGATCGAAACGTCGTGATCTATTAATGTTCTATCTACGTGACTTCATACCGAAAGAACCACAGAGTATGTATCCCTGCAGTCGCGAAAGCTTCAAATCAAGATCGACGAATCAACGATGTATTTTGGTAACAAATAACGCCTACGGTTACATAAAAATATAAACAAACCCCTGAAACCACTCACCTGGCCATGATTACAGAGGCCTCCGAGTCGTATCGCGGTAAAAAGATTCACAAGCAAAACTGCAATCAGCAGCAACAGCAGCAGCAGCACATCAGCAGCGGCAGCACACGGACTGAGCCGTCGAGATGCCTCATCAATCGACGGACGCCGCCTGCCCCGTGGCTTTTCCACGTGATTTCAAAAAGAGCACCAAAGAAATCCCCCCAAACTTGCCAAGAACAGTGCAGCGAAGCGTCGGCGCGCGCGGCCTTATAAAGCGACCCTCCCGCCCACCTCATTAACCCACCGGGGACATGCAACTGGGACGTGGCCCATGATGATGATGCTCCAAAGGACGCGGTGAAATTACCGTCAATTAGAGGATGGGAGGCAGCTCGCGGGCATCCCAACTTGCCGCCGCCGCCTTCATAATTGTGTCCCTAAAGCCCTCGAGGCGTGCCTCGAGTTGGTCACCTCGCAGACGCCGATTAGCGGAATTTGGGGTGGCGGTCTGGAAGGCGCACGCCGGTCATGTACCTGCGTCGAGCGGCAACAACAGAAAGGAACGAAGGGGACCCTGGGTTCGATTCCCCGACTCGGGTGATTGATTGTCCGTTCTCTCTCCCCGTTCTACAGAGTGAGAGAGTGGAGTTTGAGTGATCCCCCCCTGTTCTACAGAATTAGTGAAGTTTGTATGATCTCCCCCTGTCCTACAGAGTGTAGTTTGTATGATCTCCCCCTGTCCTACAGAGTGGAGTTTGTATGATCTCCCCCTGTCCTACAGAGTGAGCCACGAGACTCGGGGAGACTTTGCTGGGTCAGCAGACCTAATTATCGGAATAATATAATAATACTAGCATAAGTACCCGGCATTGCCCGGGTGAAAAATATATTTCTTAATAACCTTACATATATACACAGATGGGCTGCTACCCCTGCCCCCCCCCCCCCCCCCAGCCACGATCTCCTCGGTCGCTGTGCAGTAATATGTACGGCCTATAGTGTGGTGGGGTGTCGAGGCCTAGTACCGTGCAGAGCCTCCGGCCTCGCCTAAATTGCCCACCGGCTGAGGCTGGGTACCGGGGCCGTTACCCCCCCCACCCCCCGCGCTACAAAAATACTGTCTAATCGCTATAATTTAATTATCTACCGACCCTATAATAGTAATTGCACACATTGTGGTGGGGTGGCGGGGGAGTGAAGAGGACGTGAAACTTTGATGAATTTACCTCAGAGTCGCGTGGTGGGTGTCGAGGCCTAGTACCGTGCAGAGCCTCCGGCCTCGCCTAAATTGCCCACCCGGCTGAGGCTGGGTACGGGTGCCATTCCCCCCCCCCCCCCCCCGCGCTACAATAATACTGTCTAATCGCTATAATTTTATTATCTACCGACCCTATAATAGTAATTGCACACATTGGGGTGGGGGGTGAGTGAAGAGGACGTGAAACTTTGATGAATTTACCTCAGAGTCGCGTGTTAATGCGTGCGCATATTTTTAACGGGAATTAAAAATGGCGTCCACCCCGCAGCGAATGCGTCGCTACCCGTTGCCAGGGGCAACCGCCGTGGAAAACCAAACGGACCAATCACGTCTCGCAAATCCCTCACATTTCGTCCAATGAAACTGTGTATGGTCCGGCGACACACAGACAGACAGACAGATTTGCGATTTTATATATATAGATAATAATAATATAATAATAAAACAGCCCAGCGGTCAGCACGCGCGCGCCTCTGACGACGGACACGAGTTCGACTCCCGCTGCCGGTTTGTGCAAATGCTCATTTTGGCATCGTCCATCGGGATATTAATAAGTTGGGTGGAGCGGTGGCGCAGTGATTAGCGCACTGCGTTATCTATGTTGAACTTCTGTCGGCACCGTACGTAGCCAACCGTGCTAAGCTGTGGGTCTCTATGGGCCTGGGTGTCTGTGGGGCTCTCTGTACGTATGTTGAACGTATAGAAGTGTGTATAGTGTAGTTGTATGGTAGTTTGTATGGATGTTGAATTTCCATCGCTCCGTACGCATCCAACCGCGCTAATCGGAGGTGCGGAGGGGAATGACTACAAACTAAACACGACAATAACTACAAGCAGTTCTAAAAAAATTAGTTCGTCAATCCAGGTGATGATTTAAAAGCGCGTAGTTACAGTAATATGGGAAGAGACGCACAGAGACCCACAGAGATCCAGAGACTCGTATAGAACCATAGAGACCCACAACGACCCAGAGACCCACAAAGACCCAGAGACCCACAAAGACCCAAAGAGACCCATACTCGTACGAATGTTGAATTTCTTTCGCACCGTACGCAGCCCAAGCGAGCTAATGGGTAGGGAAGGACAGCAACATGCACACAAACACATTGTCCTGCTGCGGAGGGAGCTGGTAGGAACGTCGGGTTGCTCGGTCAATGGCCAGGGTCAACGGCGGCGTGGTGTATTCCGTAAATATGCCCGACTGTGAGGGCGGGCACAAGCCGGCGTGAGTAGGTTAAACGTTGAGTTTTATAAGGGCACCACGGGGTGACCAGCCCCTCCCCACCCAGCCCCACCCTCCCCACCCAGCCCCTCCCCACCCTCCCCACCCAGCCTCTCCCCACCCTCCCCTCCCCACCCAGCCCCTCCCCACCCTCCACACCCAGCCCCTCCCCACCCTCCCCTCTCCACCCAGCCCCACCCCTCCCATTTTTGAATGCACAACCGACGGACGGACACAATAATCCCCTGTGGGCTGGTGTAACCAGGAGGTTCCTACCCAGTATAAGAAGCAGTTCTGGAGCAATGAGTTTGTGAAACTCAAGTCGTGAGTTTGCTCGTTTCTCTCTCACCGCGTGGTCCCGAGTCCTCCTCCGTGTCCCCCCCCACCCGCTTCCACATTTAGACATCGACGTCACCGCGGGTTTAGAGACATTTGGCTGCTGCTATGAATCCGATGGCCCAGCGGATTAGAGAAAAAAAAATCACCCCCCAGCCTTGGAGTACTTCATAACGGCAGCAGCAGTAGCAGCAGTAGCAGCAGCAGCAGTAGTAGCAGCAGTAGTAGTAGTAGCAGCAGCAGCAGTAAGCAGCAGTAGCAGCAATAGCAGCAGTAGCAGCAGCAGCAGTAGTAGCAGCAGCAGTAGCAGCAGTAGCAGCAGCAGTAGCAGTACTCAATGGCAATGGGGTTGATGATGATGCTGCTGCTGCACCCGAGCCGGGAGTCGAACCCCTCGGCCCGTGGCGAGGGGCACAGACATCGCGTGCCTCGAGCGCAGAATTAGCGGGACGCGCTTCTCACGCCCATTATCCTCCTCCTCCTCCTGGGCTGATGATAGACGCCAACCCTCCCCCCCACCCCCCACCCAGGTCGCTCATCGCGAGGCCCGTGCCGGGTGCTTAACTGAAGTGTCCACGGGGCGTGGCGCGTTTCGTCGTTCATCCCACAACACCCCCGAT